TGTTGCTATTGCTAACATTAAGAGTTGATTAAAATCACGTCAAATTTGTGTGAGCGATCAAAATGAACTGAATTTTATTAAGTTGTTAATTTTGAACAGTTATTCCAAAAATGCTTAATTGCTAGATATGGTTCGTTGCCTTTAATTTCGAATATTGAACCTTGTTTTTTTGATGAAAAATGCTGAAATGCCAATTGATTGGACTTTATATGAATTTAAACAAATGCCAATTTGATTGGACTTTGTATGAACAATATGCTGAATTTAACAATATGTTCTTGAACAGTTCGCTTGAATGGTGTGAATTTCTTTGCCGAATGCTTCACGTTGAACTAACTGCACTAATTTTAATCGGCTGTGGTTCATTTCGATGACCGACAATAAACCGCATCGTCGATTGTTTCGATTAATCTTTTGACTGTTGTGCCGAAAACGAAAAACCCATGCGACGACACGAATCAAGGTAATTAGCGATGAATAGTGGAATACAACCGATTCAGTGGGTATGGTAACGTGCACATGAACGGTATTTGTTTTGGCTTCGAGTGTGACATCATCGAACTTGTGCTCTTTGTTGTTGAACTTCGGCCATACGTCGGGTGATTGAGTGAGCCAAGTCGGTCCTTTCCACCACAAATCAAACGTCGCCAATTCGGATGGCGTCAAACCTCGAGTGGCACAATCAACTGGGTTGTCCTTTGTATCTACATGATTCCACATACTAGTGGATGAGATCGATAGAATTTTACTCACCCGGTTTGCAATGTATGTTTTCCATCGAGTGATATCGCCGTGTATCCAATGCAAAACGATTGTGGCATCACCCCAAAAGTAAATCGGTACGTGATTGAAGTCAATGCGGAGATTTTTCTTCACCCAAGCAGCCAATCTCGTTGCTAATTCCGCGCCGCAAAGTTCCGTCCGAGGAATTGTGAGCGGTTTTGTTGGTGTAATTTTGCTTTTGGCTATAATCAAGTGCGTATGAACCCGTTCGCCTTCGGCTTGAAGACGAATATAAACATTCGCTGCATAAGCGCTCGATGATCCATCACAAAATACATGCAACTGAATTAATTGATTCGGTGAATAACTTATCCAACGCGGGATGGAGATTTTATTAATCGATGGTAATTCGCTGATGAATTGTCGCCACTGTGAACAGAGCGGCTCAGGAACTGGTTCATCCCAGCTCAATTTTGATCTCTCGTCGTTTTCATCGGCTGATGTTTCGTGGCGAAAATTCCAAATTCGTTTGAGAATCATTTTTGCTGCGACGATCATTGGTGCAATGAATCCCATTGGATCAAAAAGACGTGCGGTGGTGGACAATACCGAACGTTTGGTGATATTCGTTGGTAAATCGAATTTAATGGTGAATTTAAAAACGTCGTCGCTCGGCTTCCAACACATCAAGCCTCGATTTCATGTATTACTTTACATTAAAGCCGTCAAATGACTGCTGCTAGCGACGTCTCACTGCGACAACGTTGACTACAGTATACACCGTGCACTTCTTCTTCTTCTTCTTCTTAACTTATTCCACTTTTTTCTGTTGTGAGTATGAAGCTTACGTTGTCGCAGTGAGATGTCGCTTCAGCACCATATGGAAAAAGAAATCAAGACTCGCAACACATTCCCAATGTCTTGACCGTTTCGTTGCTATCCATATCCAAGAGCGTGCTACTGCACTGATGTTCCTTTGGAATTGATTCGAGCAATTCTGGCGTGTTGCTTGCCCATTTTCTCAACTCCATACCAGCTGACGCAAGTGCACCTGTGACATGATCACGGATGGCGATTGCATTTTCAATTGAATGACTGCCGGTTTGTATGTCGTCAACATACATTTCATTTTTTAGCACATTCTCGGCTAACGGATATCGCGCTTTCTCATTTTCAGCGATGAGATGAATCACACTGATGGCGATACATGGGGCTGGCGCTGTGCCAAATGTGACGGTGGTAAGACAATACTCTCGGATCTCACTCCTTTCGTCTCGCCACAATATTTTTTGATATGCGATGTCGTCGGGATGCATGTCGATGCATCTATACATCTTCTGTATATCGCACGTGAATACGAACTTGTTCAACCTCCAATTCAGAATTACGGATGGTAATTCATTTTGTAGCGCTGGTCCGACGCACAGAATGTCATTCAGAGACCTTCCGTTCGATGTTTTTGCCGAAGCATCCATCACGATTCTCAGTTTGGTTGTTAAACTGTCTTCCTTCAAAACGTGGTGATGGGCCAAAACGCATGCACTAACCGTGAACTGATTGACTTCGTTGAACGTGCAATGCTGTTCTTCTGTGGTAGTGGATGGAAGAATCTGATTTAATTCAAAATATTCGTGCATACCTTTTGCATAGCGTTCCATCAAACCCTCTTTTCGTTGAAGCCTTCGTTCGAGCTGATGAAATCGATTGAGAGCGATTTGTCGAGAACGCCCTATCGTTTGAGTTGGATCGAAGATGGTTTTGAATGGTAATCGCACCAAATATTTTCCGTTGGGTTGACGAACTGTTGTCTGTTTGAAGAAGTCCATGAACCATTGATCTTCTTGAGAAAGTGCACGCTCTTCGGGCACTTGTTCGTTATCGTAGAATTTCCGTACAAGCGTATCAAGTTGAGCGTCGACTGTAGTGTGAAAACAGCGTACAGAATTTTTAATTTTGCCGTGCGGTGACACGGTCGGTGAATCAGAAGCCGGCGGCTCCGTGTTTCCAAACAAAATCCATCCGAAATGAGAATTTTGTGCAACTGGATGATCTGGTTGACCGATGCGTTGATCAGGTAACAGTATCGCAGCTTGCATTTCGGTGCCGATGAGCAGGTCAATTTCACCTACCTTGAAATACGTTGGATCGGCGAGGACAAGTGTTCGAATGTGTGGCCAATCCTGTGGAACAATTTCTTTGCTCGGCAACGGTGCCGTTATTCGATCCATGACGAATGCCATGTTGACAAATGTTTCGAAATTTTCATTGAGATTGGATTGCAATGCAAAACTTACGCATTCGGTGCTGACATTCGAATTAACACCGACTCCATCGACGTCAGTGACCATGGGCGTTCGACGTAAACCCAAAGCGTTAGCACCTCGCCGAGTGATAAGCGTTCCTTCTGAAGCTTGATCGATAAGAGCGCGCAGCACTAATTTTCTTCCCGTGACAACGTTGATGACTGGAATTAATGCTGTGGCCAAGAGAACCTTGGGCGGTTCTTTATTTGCCAGAGCCATACTGGTAGTAAGGGTTTGAATTCGTTGGACAGGTTGTGTATTTACCGTAGTCGCAGCGGAATTACCGTTGAAAGTGAAATGTAGGAGCGTGTGGTGACGGCCTCCACATTGCTGACAATTTCTCTGGCTTGAGCACTGGCTCATGAAATGAGCGCCACTCATACAATTGAGGCACAATTTATTTTTGTCGACGATAGCCTTTCGTTCGAAGCAGTCTTTGGCCAGAAAAACTGGGCATTTTCGCAGGATATGATTACCCTCACACACAACACACTTATCCACCTTTGATTGAGTAGCGATAACGTGGAATGATTTTCGTTCAAATCGTTGATTTCGTTGAGACGACTTTGACACATTCGAAGAATTGTTCGGTTTCGGTTGATCAATTGATTTGATTGTATTCAATGCACCTTGCATAACGGTGTTTCGATTTTCCATCACATCGACGGTGATTGCGCGTTGACTCATAAATGTCTCAAAATCCGTAAAAGTTGGTATATCGGTACGACTTCCGAGATGAGATTCCCATTTCGAATGAGTTTCTTTTGGTAATTTTGTCACTAAAAGATAAACTAACCAATGATCACTATTGTCAATCGGAATTTCTAAACGACGCAATTCGTTACGACACACATTCGCGGTATTAAGTAAATGTTTCAAGTCTTCCGAACGTTCTTTTTGTATTGTCGACATCGAGAATAATGTATTCATTTGACTCGTATGCAAAATACGCGGAATGTTATACCGTTTCACTAGCATGTCCCATGCCGTAGCGTAGTTTTGTGCACTGAGCGGCATTAAATGAATGTCTTTGTCGCAGTGTGGTGGCAAACCTAACTTCAAGAAATGAAACTTTTGAATCGCATTGAGTGCCATATTTTGATGTATCAACCGACCAAATGCATCTTGAAATTCAGGCCAATCGGCTGTAACACCCGAAAACTTTGGATTTGGAATGTCGGGAAAATGTACCGTTGATATGGGTTGACTTGGCATCACTGCCGATGTGACATTCACTTGACCGCTATTTGAACTCGATGATGAACTCGTAACCGGCGGATACCGTGTATCACGGTCCGTAACTAACGCACAATACACACCGAAGTACAACTCTTCAAAATTGACCGACACATCGTTTTTGAAATAACTTTCATCCGAATCGAGTGCATTGCACACTATGACTTTATGTGAGGCTCTAAATTCCGTTGCCAACTTGTCGATTTGATTGAGACGACGCACAAAATAAGCCGGTGTTTTTTGATTAGTTGCACACTTTCCATAATTGGTTTCAATTTTCTGCAAATGTTTAAACCGATCCATTTGCAATTTTATCAAATCTTCTGCCGAAAACGACAAATCCGTTATTTGCGATGTGTTGGCCATCGTTTTGCGAAGTGACTTTGAAATGACTTTGAATTGGAGTGTGAACGAACGATTTGAGTCGATGTGTGACGATTGCAACAACAATTATACGGAATAACGGAACGGCGTCGATGACTTTGCACACTCACTATGATCGAAAGCAACGCACAAATTTCGTTTGAATGTTTTCTTTTTTCACTGAGATTCACTAAAATGTCAATGTTTTTTTTCTTTTTTTATCGACTTCCTCCCATGGGCCACCAAAAATGTTGTAGGTCAACTATAGATTTGGAGTTCATAAAACAAGACCCGATTGTTTCTTTTCTTTAACACTTAATTTAATGAATTCCTCTCAAATTGAAAATGAAAATAAATATAATAAAATGGATGCGTAAAAAATTGTGTGCAATTGTTTCTGAATGTACTTAACGAACTGATTTGGAATATTGAGTGAATGATTAAAAAATTGAGTACAAAATGATTCGATCGAAAATGAATTGCTGCGATTGAATTCTGCTGAATCGATGAATGTCGTTCACTGCGGGACAGTGGAGCCGACGATAAATGTGTGTTGTGTGGTCGATGAATATTCGATGTAAAAAAAAATGTATCGCTCACTGCGTAACAGTGGAAACGATTTGTATGTGGTTCGGAGAGCGGGTGGACGATTTGTGTGTTGTTCGGAGAGCGGGTTGACTGTAAGTAAATGGTGTGAGGTGATATGATTTGCTGTCTCAGCACTGCGGCGACGAATTCGCTCGTTTTGTGTTTTTGACATTGTGTGATTGGTTGTCCGATGCAAATGGAA